TTTGTAAATTTCCTACTGTAAATATATCAAAACTTAATTTTTGATTAGCCTAGTAATATGCATGGCTAAGAACTTCATTTGGACAACTTTAAAGTTGATTTTCTCAATATTTTGCTCAATGGAAAGCTTATTTATTCAGCTTTCAGATGACGTATAAATCTCAATTTTGAAAAATTTACACTTAAGACCACTTGTGGTCCAGGGTCACATATACTATTCCAAAGTTATTTCTGTCATTTTGACAGATAATAACTTGTATTTTCTTATGAAAACAAACCTGGAAGGTGATGTGAGGATTTGAGGAGAAAAACAAGAGATGCTTTGTGCATTCCAGTGAATTATTAATGGGATATATTGTAAATTAAATTGGGAGAACAGACCACATATGTGCAGTATATGTTGTCTTTTTCATACTATTCCAGTGGAATGCAAAGGGAAAAAAAAAAGAAAATAATCATGAGGAAAAGAATGCAGCGACTGAAAAGAGCTCTAGCCATAGATATTCTTGTTATAACATGTCTATAAAACATCAAGTGTTACGTTATTCTCATGATGGCTGAAAATAAAACATGAAAGAAAATCGACAGCAGCTCATTCAGTCAAACAGACGGATACGTTTTATTTGTAGGGCAACCTTATGATTTAAAATGATTCATTCTGTATGTTAGTTCCCCAAACCGGAAGTGCCACCCTTCAAAACGCAGTAGGCTCGTCAGGAATAAGGTGGATACAAAATTACAAAACACATGTGACAGCCTGATATTTAATACAAATACCTCTGGTATTAGAACACAGTTCAGCCTTTCAGTTAAAATCTGCCTTCACTCAATATTTGACCCTTGCCCTAAATTGTTTTACCTGGTTTGAGTTTTACTCGAGCATCTGTTACCTATAAATGAGAGAAATAAACTAGCTGTCAGCATGTGAAATCTGCACTAGTGCGCTCCATATTCTGTCTTTATATTTCAAAATCTCACTCTTTGCCTCATTTGTCTGACCGGCATGTGGTCTTGTCACAGGGGCCCCAGGTCACGTTCCCCATGTGCTGGGTCTTATTCCAGAGTTTTCTATGTGGCTGAGGTTTTCTGACCCTTCGACGAGAGTTTCCACCTCTGGATCCTCTGGAGCGCCACATGTGATCATAATATTACAAGAGGCTTATGGTCTCAGCACACTCCTGTGCAAGGTGTCCACAATCCCTCACGCTTACAGGACCCCTGGGAGAGCAACAGTGCCAAAGCTAGGCTTTCAAATGTCCCAGAACAGCGGCAGGTTTTAAGGTTTCAAACTATTTTGTACTATCATTCAAAGCTTCTTGCTCTAAAGACATGGCTTTTTTGTGAGCTTTTTTCCATAAACATCTAAAATTACAGTAAAGTAGAGAGTGTATAAAGTGAAAAACAAACATGTCTGGCACAAATGTATTCTGTGTTACATGTATGAACTAAATTATAAAGAAGGAGGCACTGAAGATGCGTTTCTCTGCAAGATATATTTTCAGTGGCTTTTTTGAAAAAAAACAAATTTGGCAAATGACATGTTCTAAAGAACTTTTCCCTTTTATTTGCTATTAATTATTATTGTTTTAATTATACTTACATTATGAAGAAGAAGAATTTTACGAATTGTACAAAGCATATTTACTCTTTATAAACTATAAAGGGAAAATAATTAAACTTAAAATGGGCTTTTTTGTATGTAGGCATGACACATTTGTGCTTTCCTTGCCTGAGAAATCATGGAAATGAACAGAATCCTTTAAAAGTTATGGAAACACCATGGAATACTATTTATTTTTTCTCTAGTTATGCTCTGAAATTGCTAGAATTTGCTGTTTGTGTGAAAGATGTCAAATATGAGAATATATAAGAATAGAAATATTCTGAAAGTGCCAAAGACTCACTTCAAGATGTCAATGTAGTAGACTGAAACGGGGATATGAGAATGTATTTTGACAGAAGACCGTACACATCCTCTCCCACACGCTTCTTAAAAACCTGTGTCATAGCGTACTAAATACAGCACTGCAGATATGTGTTTGTACTGGCACTGTATTCATGATCTCATCTGTAAACTAGACATGGAACATTTATTGTTTTAAAACTCTGCTGTGTTGCATCATCTTTCTGCAATAACACGTTCGCTCATTTCTGGTCAATAATTTGGGGACTTTTGGTCCGTTTTCACTCCACGCCCAGCGTTCTGTCCACTCCAGAGCGGACGAGAGCCCAGACACACAAATACAGCTCATCCAGTGACTCAGAGACAAACACTTGACCGCACACTTATGGACACAGTCATAATAAAACCATAAACTGGGATATTTAACCAACCGTGTTTGAAAGCAAGAAAGAAAATGATGCAGCTGTTATATGAGGTTAAAAAATAAGTATTTTTCAGATTGTCACAGGAAACAGTTTCTAAAATAACAGATACCAGTAAATTGTAGTATTCCTTCAAAATATCTTCCCTACACTTTAAACATATGAATTCTTGTTCCAGGGTTAACATGTGGCACATAATGCTATTGCGCCATTTCAGCATATAACCTCGAGGTTTTGATGCAATCCAAAGTAGGATGTTTTTGTAGTATCATCATCTTTATGCTTTTGTTATCTGCTCTCTCTCTCAGGTCCTCATAACCGTGTGTCGCGGTGTCCTCCTAATGAACATCAGTGTCTGGGATCAGACTTGTGTGTTCACATGAGCAAGCTGTGTAACGGCGTCCCCGACTGCACTGATGGAGGAGACGAGGGGGCGCACTGCAGAGGTAATGACGACAAACATTGCTTGGTTATAAATCGCTATATATAATTGCTATATGCTATACTGTATATAAATATTACTAGTGTTAATAATATCAGTCTTTCTGTGGAAAATATAGCTTGGGGCCTGAAACAGATACTAGTTGAACTTCAAAGTTCAAATTTCCATGGAAATAAACCATTGGCCAAACAGCAAAAATTATACTTTAAAGGATTAGTTCACTTTCAAATTAAAATTTCCTGATAATTTACTCCAAGATGTTTACGTCTTTCTTTCTTCAGTCGAAAAGAAATTAAGGTTTTTGATGAAAACATTCCAGGATTATTCTCCTTATAGTGTACTTCAACGGCTACCAAACGGTTGAAGGTCAAAATGACCGTTTCAGTGCAGCTTCAAAGGGCTCTACACGATACCAGACGAGGAATAAGGGTCTTATCTAGCGAAACGATCGGTCATTTTATAAAAAAAAAAAAAAAAGTATATGCTTTATAAACAAAAATGCGTGCCTTGCACTGCTCTGCGATGTGCGTCCATGACTTCACGTAATACGCAATTACGTTGAAAAGGTAATGTTATAATATTCCAGAAGATCACAAAGAACTTCAGGGTAACAAGGATCTACAGGCGTGTCTTGCATTGGATTCAGACAAACACTGAACATGAATGATGTGCACAGCAGCATACTCCAGCAAGGAGGAAGCCACTTCCCTCCAAGAAGAACACTATTGCCTGTCTAAAAATGGCCAAATAACACAAGGATAAGCCAGAAAACTACTGGAAGTATTGATTTGTTAATGGATGAGTCCAAAGTAAAACAGTTTGGTTAAGAAAAATTACATTTGGCAAAACCAACACGCCACATTCAATAACAGCAACCGCATCCCAACTGTAAAGCACAGGGATGGCGGTATAATTATTTGGTTCGTTTAATTATTTGCTTTCCTGCCTCTGGACCAGGACAGATTGCCATCATTGATGAAACTATGAATGCTTTGTTATCTGAGAAAATTCCGCTAGTGAAGGAGTAAGGAGGAATGGCCAAAGGAGTGATCCACAAGACTGATCCACATTTACTGGAAACTGTGTGATCACAACCCAAAATAAATAAACAAACAAATACAAATCTGCTGATTTCCCCTCAAAATGTACAATGTTTTATGACATTTTATATGCAGTAGTTGTAAATTTTTAAGATCTGACCTCAATACAGAGTTCTGGCATGAAACTCTGATGGCGCAGTCCGATAGGTCTAACTCAATCTGACGTAATGACATCATTATCACATGGCACAGCTGATTGGTTCTCTCCTGTATCGGTAGCCAATGAGCTCGCTGCTCAACATTCAAATATATGACTAGAGCTTGCCGTAGCAGTGCAGCTTGCTTCAGAAACCCTCCACCTTCCCCAGCTCCACCTGTATAGATCTGCTACGAGGTAATTCACGTGCGCTATATGGGGGTTATTTCATATGAGTTGTATGCGCAGCAGCAGTATTTCTTACATGCTCACAGCAGCATGTTGTGGATGTATTAGCAGTAGCAAGTCTCGGTACTTGCTCTGCCGCAGCAGCAGCGTAGCAGATCTATTCTGACAAGACCAAATACATTAACATTGTCATGTGCATTACCATGCCAATCCCTCCGAGAGTTGTCATGACAGAAATGTAGTTCAAATAGTGTATACAAGGAAAGGAAAATTCTTAATGGGTTTTCATATGCGATTAACCTTGATTTACCTTTTGTCTATTTTAGCTTCACCCCCATATGCACACACATAGCTGTAGTCACTCTCTTTAGGCACTAGTGGGTGAACTCTAGTGAGGTGACACAAACCTGTCTGGACATAAACACACTGGCGTGTGTTTGTATGGTGTTTCAGGAGCATGAATTAACTGAGAGATGAGTGCAGACAGTCTAGCCCTTGTAATGTTTGTGTGGCTGTATGTAATGATGCTGGAAAGCACTTTGGTCAATGGCAGTTGTTTTAAATGTGCTATAGAAATAAAATTTGTATTGTTGTATTATATTGTAATGCATACACACTTCTCAGTAATCACCTTCTGTGTGAATAAGTATTAATATTAATAGATAATTTAGAATGACAACAGTTGCATTTCTCAGTATGCACTTATGTCTTTAAAGTCCTGCACAATTGCAAACTCTAGTATGTGATGGCCAATTTTCATGACCTAATAAAATGGATTGCTAATATAATTTCATATTGTTTCTACATTATGAGTAGCTTTGTAAACTGTAGTTCTGTCATGACAACACTATGGTAATGTACATGACAATGTTAATGTATTTGGTCTTGGCAGAATAGATCTGCTGTGCTGCTGCTGCGGCAGAGCAAGTACCGAGACTTGCTACTGCCAATACATCCACAACATGCTGCTGTGAGCATGTAAGAAATATTGCTGCTGCAAATATAACATACATGAAATAACCCCCATATAGCATACATGAATCACCTCATAGCAGATCTATACAGGTGGAGCTGGGGAAGGTGGAGGGTTTCTGAAGCAAGCTGCGACTGCTATGGCAAGCACTAGTCATATATTTGAATGTTGAGCAGCGAGCTCATTGGCTACAAATACAGTAGAGAACCAATCAGCTGTGCCATGTGATAATGATGTCATTAGGTCAGACTGAGTTAGACCTATCGGACTGCGCCGTCTAGAGTTTCATGCCAGAACTCTGTATTTGTACAGTGGCTCCCCACCGCTGTCCAGTGGCAGAAGCAGTGAATTTAAACTGCCTCCCTCCATAAAATGCATTTTCTCCAAATTTGAATTGCTTGATTATCAAATCCGTGATTTGGAAACACTATTAGCTCTGCACTGCTTCATGTATGAGGACATGTGTCACTTTAGATACTCAATACAGAGTCGGTCCTTGAAACTGAAGACTATGCGATCTGACCTTATACCTTGAGAGAACACCTTGAGAGAACACCTTGAGGACCTTGAGTTACCTTGAGGAACAGCGAATCTGGTCAAAACAGTTCAGTGGTCAGCAGAAGGTGCATTAGTCAAGAATACTGGAACAGACATTACTGGCTCAGAAATGCAGCTTAAAAATTTATTTTCCCAATGTGATATTTTCATAACGTAATGTGGAAAAAATATTTAGAGTGACCAACAAGGTTTTTTTTTTCATTTAACGTTTATGCATTTGACTGACACTTTTAATCAAAGCTAAATGTGAAACAGTTTTGAAAATATTCACATCACCTGGAAATCAAAATTCTGTTCTTGGCATTAGTGCTATGCTGTACGGTTTGAGCATGAGGACCATTTTTGATTTTGGTGGATATATACCGGTATATACAGAACTGAATGACAAATTCTGATATATGGATGTTTATTGTACACAAATTTTGTGTCGTCATTTTGAGAGAGGTGAAACACAGAACTATTTCGCTTCATTTTGGGATGTAACCTTTGTGAAAAGTGTTTTAACCCATCAGAGTACTTGTGTGTTACCATAGTGTGGTGAAATGTGAAGTTAAGGCAAAATCCCTGTCAAATTTCCACTCAATCCTCTTAAGGATTAGAACTTACTTAACATGCTCAACGTTGCATGCTTGCACTCATCCACACACATAACTACACAAAAATCAAAACACACACTCACTTTCTTTATGCTGTGATTGTATATCGACACAGAATGTGTGTGTTGTTAGCACTGTCCCAGAACCTAGTGAGCTACCTCATTGCCTACCAACACAGGCAGTTGTCTTTTAAGGCAGCATCCCAACTGAAACAGAACCTCAAAAGTGACTGATTTGGAACCCTGTTGGTAGGCAGCAGCTCCATGTGCCACACAAAAATAGAGCTTGATTTGCTGTCAGTTTCCACAGAGTTTACCATTAGCATATAAAGGATATGTTTGGAAATTTTGGAACAGTGTTCATGTCAGAAGTGGGCTTTTGATGCCTTAAAATGCTTCATACATAGACAGAACTCACTGTTTTTGGACAGAGCATATGATTGCACTGACAAATCCACTAAGCTGTCTACATAATGAGCTGTTAGCATATTAGCTTAGCTGCTGCGAGCTGCTGCAGTTCATCTAGAGGCTCATTTGTTTCTGACTGAATGCTTATGATTGCGGCGTCCCCTGAGCTCTGGGACAGGTGTTTGTATGTGTGTGTGTGTGTTTAACATCACTCCTGTTCACCGCCTGCTGAGGTACCAGGTGCTGTTATTTCATTTCTGTCACTCTGTGGTTTGTCAAATCGGTCAAAGATGCCATTTAATGGAAAACAGAATTTTTCTTAGCTATTGTGTTTACATAAAATACTTCAAAATTTTGTGCAGGCATACTCATCCTCAACATTCATAGCCAAAAACTCTAGTCCAGCCAGACCATTTGTTAAAACCATGGGCTTATTTAGCCCACATTTACAACACCCATTTAGTGTTTAGCAACTCTATCTTATCTTTGTTTAAGAAAAGTCTGTAAAAAAAAAAAAGGGCCTAATGTACCGTGTTAATATGATGATATGTATTGATTTTTACATGTTTTACCCGTATTTTGAATTATGCATTGCATTGTGTTGTGTTTTGGGGTAAAAGGAAATGTCTTTAAACCTAATGGATAATGTCCTGGTAGAAAATTACCAGTACCATTTCTGTTTTTCTACAGATTTTTTTTTTCTTACCATGCTGATAAACTACAATGGCATATTTATTCAGTATAGAAGTCTTAAAGGAACAGTAGGTACAGCCTGGTTAATTCTAAGACATCTTTAGTTAAAAAGAGATCCAAGTTCACTTGACCAGGAACAGATAGATTTTTATTTTTCAAAATACCTAAAGAAGTCTTTATAAATTGTATGTATACAGTAGTTAGATGTTTTGCATATTTAAAATGGGGAAAAAAATGTGGCTGATAAAACAAAAAATATAAAATGAAATACAAAAGTGCACTTTGGTGAATTACTGTATATTAGATGTTAGCTTGATTCCAGTGCCTTTAGTCTAGCATTGTGATTTAGTATGTGATGCAATTCTGTTATTACATTAAGTAAAAACAAAACTTATGAGATTTTGTGTATCATATTCTTTTATGTGATATGTGTCATTTGGTTTTTAGATGCATGTAATATATTTTTTGTTGTTGTTTTGAACTTTGCGATCTTCATGAAGTCTCTGTAGTGAGTGTTGATGGTCAGTGTGAGTCAGTGTGTCAGTCTGTTTGGTAATGAATTGCTGTGTTGTTTGACCTCTAGCCGTCCTCTGCTCTGATCTCTGTAGAATTGGCCCTCAACTGTACTCTCACTGGTTGCCAGGACAACTGTGCTGTCACACGCACCGGCGCCATGTGCTACTGCAAGAGCGGCTACGAGATCAGCCAAGACGGAAAGACCTGTAAAGGTCGGTTGCATTTACACACACTTTCATGAGTATAGACTCCTATGAATGCAACAATATAGACTTACAGCTGAGAGAGATAGAGGATTATTTTGATTGTATAATCAATATGAATACTTAAAAAGATGAACAACAGCATAGAATCTAAAACATAGAATTTTAAATCAGGTATCTTGTAAGGAGAAAGTACAGTCAGCTGGTCATTGTCACAAAATATTATGACTGATTATACATTATTGTGCATATTACAATGGTACTTAACAAATAATTACATAAATGTACAATTATTTTATTGCTTAATATGAGCTAACATAAGCAAATTACTGATGTTTATGTCATGCCACCCTGGTTTCATTTGTTAACAATGATTAACTGAATTAGTTGACATGAACTAATGATGAACAATACTTCTACAGCATTTTTTCCTTACTTTCCAGTAAAAGTTCACATATCCCTAAAACAAGTTGTATTGTAGAGACAAAACTGTTAGAAAATAAGACTTTTTTTTAGCCCAATTTTTTTCTTGTACTAATTGCATTGTAAATCTAGTATATGGTTAAGTTCTGTTACTACATTGAGTAAACACATATGAGATTTCCTATATCAAATGCTTTCATTTTCTTATATTTCATTTGCTTTTAGACTCCTTTTTTAACTCTGCAGTCTTCATAAAATCTCTTTTGGGAGTGTTAGCTAAGATATCTAAGACAGATCTCTTTATCTTGATATACTAACATTGTTTTGCTTCTCTGAAAGTAGTTTTTAAGGGTGCTTAAATATTTCATTAGAAAACAAGGTAAAACAT